TCCTATAATTATGAAATAAGTTCTCACACTAGCTAGTTTTGTTAACATAACAATTATTATTTCAACACATATATATATTTTATTTCGATAAGTTATGAATCTCACCTCGAATTACAAAATGATAAAATATTTATAGAAAAATAAAACTAATCGAACTTGATTCAATTCGTATACTGGTCGAGTGACAAGTTCCTATCGAACTCGACTGAATTACTTATCAAACCAAACTCAAACGCAATTTTAAAAGTTCAAAATAAAATTTCAAACAAATCCGAACAATCATATATACATTAAGCTCAACTCTTATAAAACTAGAAAACGAATCAAACTATTGAAATATATATTTATTTTGTCTTTTTGTGATTTATTATCTTTCTATCTTCCTTCATTAATTTCCTTTTTTTTTTTTTATAGAAAAATGTGATTACGATGATACGGCACTGTAAGAATGGCAACCACGTGGAGACACACATAGAACACGCACACAACAATTCGTGGATTAAAAGAAACACAAGGCAGCACAATTACAATAAATCCTTTATTTTTTATTTTTATCAATAGTAATATTACCCTTAAAAAGTCAAACTTAATGCTAGTAAATAGTATTACCCAAACATTTGAAAATAGGATCCTATCATGCTTTATATCATATTATTTTGTAAAGTTTAATTTACAAATTTATATTAATTACTAAAATAATGAAACAAGAAGTGCTATTTAAGCCTCTACGTGACGTACAAATTGGTTAATTTGCATGAACCATGCAACTAAAAAGGGATTATTCGCAAAAAAGTTGACCTCAGAGAAAAGGTCAACTTTTTAATTTCTTGTTTTCTCCTTTTTTTAATATTTATTTTGGTCATCCTAAATAATTAAATAAAATCCAAGTCATGTTTCTTGCTAGTGTACAAATTAAGCATGTCACAATTTTCCCTACTATATATACACATCACATTCCTTAACATTCTCTCACAGAATTAATAAACATTTCTAATATTCTCTCCCACACAAGAGAGAGAGAGAGAGAGAGAGAGAGAGAGAGAGAGAGAGAGAGAGAGAGAGAGAGAGAGAGAGAGAGAGAGAGAGAGAGAGAGAGAGTACAAGTATGGATCCACAAAAATATTCACCATCCTCAGCTGGCGGCGGCAAAAACACAATCCGAGCGGCGATAATGGCGGTCGTACTGGCGGTCTTCGCCGGATACCTTCTCTTGTGGGTGATGATGCCTACGAATCCGTACAAAGTGACTTGGTTGCCGGTGCTCCGGGCAAAAACAGCCTCCACTTATTTTGGAACCACCCAAGGTATATATATAATATATATAGCACTCAGATTTTATTTTTAAACATACGACAAAAAAAAATGTAATTACTAAATATTATGTATTTATTTATGCTTTTTTTCCCCCTTGAAAAATCAATATCTTTTGAAAAGCATTCACTACATAAATAAGATGAAAAAAAAGATGAAATTTTCTTACATATTATACGATGAAAATCATATAGTTTAAATTTGTAGATACATAAAATATACTCCCTCCGATCCGTTTTAAATTTATACTGTCGTTTCGAAAATAATTTATATTTTTTTTCTTCCTCAAAAAAAAAAATATATATATATTTTCGTTAATTTATAATTTCGATGATGCATAAATAGTTCTTCATTCATTATTACCATTATCTCACACATTAATTCTAACAAACAAAAGAAATAAAAATGACATTTTAGTCATGTTATATATTTTTTTTTCTTAAGTTCCATAATATAAATATATATTTTTTAATTTAAATTAAAAAAAAAGGTTTTATAGACACTAAATAATTAGAATATAAAAAATTAAAAACCATGTTGACTCAAAAATTCATTAAATTAATTATAATTTAATAGAGCATTTACTCGTATATTTACTCCTATGTTTGGTTTGGTTTTGCAGGTGCAACTTATTTGGTATTCACTTTCCCAATTCTATTCATTGCAGCCTTGGGGTGTGTGTATCTCCATTTAGGACAAAAATCCAAAGATAACCTAATTACCAAACGGTGCCCAATCTCATTAATCACTATTAAACTAGACTAATCTTAGCTATTTTTAATTAATCTAATTAATTAATTTTCCAATTTTTTAAATAAGCAGAGGAAATGGTGATAATCGTACGGCTACATGGAAGAGGCCAATTGTGACCAAAGGGCTAGGGATCGTTTCTCGAATCGAGCTTGCGTTTTTCCTAATGTTCGTTGCACTTCTTATTTGGAACCTCGCCACTTATTTGCGAATTAGTTTCCCCAAAATCACGCCGAAATCGGCCGCGAAAAGTGGAGAACAAGTGTGGGAAGCGAAGCTGGACACGGCGGCGCTTCGACTAGGACTTGTCGGGAACATAGCGTTGTCGTTTTTGTTTTTCCCGGTGACACGTGGCTCGTCGGTGCTTCCGCTTTTCGGGCTGACTTCTGAGGGGAGTGTTAAATACCACATTTGGCTGGGCCATATGGTGATGGCCCTTTTCACTTCACATGGCATTTGTTACATCATCTTTTGGGCTTCCACTCATGAATTATCAGAGGTAATTTTTTTTTCTTCATATTTTAGGGTAAATTACACCTACACCCCTGAGGTTTACTAATATTACTTTAAAGTCCATGTTGTATTGGTAATTACATCCACACCCCCGAAACAATTACCGGAGTTAATATTTCATGTCATGCGGACCGATATGCACTGTATTTGTTTCCCGCATGGCCGTTAATGCTACCATAAACGAAAATTTATAAATTCATATATAAAATAATAAGGATTTAAGAAATGTTAGGACAATCATGTCACCTTCTAACTCTATGTTGTCTCCACTATTACCTGAAACTAATAGTCCGTTACAACTTTAACGGAATAACATATTCAATGCATTATTATGTTAGGTCTTTTAACAATGTTTTAGGGGGGTGATTGTAATTACCAATACTACAGGGACCTTAAAGTTATTTTAACATACATCAGGGGTGTAAGTGTAATTTACCCTAATTTTATTACAATTGATCTTGGCCATACGTCATGTTAATTAGTAAAATAATAATTAAAACTATTAAGTTATTAATTTTACCAAAAAAAAACAATGTTATTATACATTTTTATAAATAAATATATTTTTTTTCTTCAAATAAATAAAATATATCGTATTTATTTAGGTCATCATAGATCATACATTATATAAGAAAAATACTAGAAAGTCGTGCGGTTCTGGGTTTGTTAGTAAAGTTGCTGTCACGCTTTTTCCTTCATGCAAGCAATTACGTGGCACGCTTTTTTTCTGTTTGGGGGGAAACAGGAAAGAGCACTTTTAATGGTGCCATCAACTTTTCTTTGCTTGACGCGTGTACGGCTGAAAAACGTTCACTTTATATAGTCAACTACCAAAGTGGCCTCGTGTTTTGGAGATCCTATTACTTTTTTATTTGATTATATTTTTATTATATTATTTTTATTAATCGTGTGCATGTCACAATAAGTCAATAATCAAGTCAACAAATTTTATAAATGTTATTTTTTGGTAAAATTTAATTTATCTAACACAACGTTATTAAATGTTAAAAGTATATATTTTTTATATATCTTATGCCTCTTTTAATACTTTATTCATAAATTTTGTATATACTTCATTTAAATTATATTTAAATAATCAGATAATAATATCAACGTAACATTCTAACTATATTTTTTTGGCTAAAAAAAATCAGAAATATTTGCGGAAATTGAAATTGTAAAATAAATTGGAACCGAAATGAAGAAAAATCGTTTCAAAACCAAACTAATTAGGCAGAATTCAGAAATTCAGTTCAAATCTCCTGATAAAACAAAATAAAAATCCACACATCTAAAAAGAAAAATTGATTCGAATTTCTCTATATCTAAAAATTTAGATGCTGAAATGGGAGAACACCGGAGTATCGAACGTGGCCGGAGAAATATCGCTACTAGCGGGTTTAATCCTATGGGCGACGACATTTCCGAGAATAAGGAGAAAAATGTTCGAGCTGTTTTTCTACACTCACCATCTCTACATTGTGTTCGTCTTCTTCTTCGTGCTCCATGTCGGGATTAGCTACTCCAGCATCATGCTCCCCGGTTTCTTCCTCTTTGTCATCGACAGGTTCCTCAGATTCTTACAGTCGAGACGAAGCGTTCGTTTATTGTCCGCTAGGGTTCTTCCTTGTCAAACCGTTGAGCTCAACTTCTCGAAGACCAAAGGTATATATATATATATATATATATATATATATATATATATATATATATATATA